GGAGGAACACAGGCAGCATCAGAGGAGCAGCAAAGCTGACGCTTTGGGTCGGGAGCCTGGTTCCTCTGTCAGATCTAATGGATCTTTCCTCGCTGTTCAAAAGTGAGAATGGGGTACTTTATAACTCACTCCCCAAGTACGGAGCTGGAGATGTAGAATGCACCCAAAATATAACGACTGATGCAAATTAAAATCAGCAGATTTGCACTTAAAAGGCAAGATGGAAATCTAACTCCACACAAGGTAAATGTTCTTCTTTAAAAGGGGTACACCTGTTGGGTGAAATGTTGCCATGATGAATTGCCTTCTTCCAAAAAGTAATCACTGGCAGTTTATCTCTCCACCAATGTCGCCTGCCCTGTTGAGTACTCCAGCATTTCCTCTTTATATTCCCACCGTTTAGAGGCAATACTTTAACTTAAATGAGATATTTGGTATCAGGAGCTGCATATAGTAACCACCTTGTGAGTACTCCTTCTGGTGGCACAGCTGGTGTAGAGCCACTTGGAACTGGCAAGTTTCACTGTTCCAGCTGTTTCGAGACCCGTACAAAACTCCACACCAAGAGCAGGGAAGGTATTGGGTCGATTTAGTCCACAGTGATGGAGAGATTGAGGACTGGTTGTAAGATTCAATGCTGAAGATTTATGTTAGAGAGTGTGTGAAACCTATTTCACAGAGAGTTATGAGACAGTGGAAGGTACTATTGGTAAAGGTGTGTGTATTACAGTTAGTGAGGCAGGTATCAATATTCTTACATTCGGAAAAGGATGGAGAAAAAGTGTTTGAGACCAGAAAACCGGAATTAACAGCAGTAAACCACCAAAGCTCGGTAACCTGAGTCCAATGTGACACTAAAATTAACAAATGGATAGGACTTCAGCAACCACTGAGTTGGAGTTAGAGTCATAGAGTTATACAGCATGGAAACAGACCCTTCGGTCCAACCAATCCGTGCCGAACATAATTCCAAACTAAACTAGTCCCACCCGCCCGCTCCTAGTCCATATCCCTCCAAACGTTTCCTATTCATGTACCTATCCAAATGTCTTTTAAATGTTGTGACTGTATCCACACCCACCACCTCCTCGGGAAGTTAGTTCCACACACGAACCACTCTCTGTGTAAAAAAAATTTGCCCCTCATGTCTATTTTAAATCTCTTTTCCTCTCACCTTAACAATATCCCTCACCCTGGGGAAAAGACACCTGCCATTCACCTTATCTATGCCCCTCATGATTTTACAAACCTCTACAAGGTCATCACTCAACTTCCTACGCTCCAATGGAAAAAGTCTCAGCCTATCCAGCCTTTCTTTATAACTCAAACCTTTCATACCCAGCACCATCCTGGTAACTCTCTTCTGAAACCCTCTCTAGCTTAGTAATATCCTTCGTGTAACAGGATGGCCATATTTTTGGAAGCTATGAGGCTTTAGGAGTGAACAAGGAGCATTAAATTTAAACCCTGAGCTCATGAGAGTCCGGGAATAAAGGCAAAATCCTGCAGATGCTGGCAATCCGAACCAAACATAGAAAATGTTGGAGAAATTCAGCAGGTTTAGCAGTACCTGTGGAGAAGCAGAGTGAACATTTCAACTCTGGTATGACTCTCTTCGTATGAAGAAAGACTCGAAACATTAACTCTGTTTCTCTCTCCAGACCCAGTGTGTTTGTTTCATGAGAGTCTTGCTCTGCTCTAATATGGAAAGAACTTTGACATCACATTAAAATGGAACAGGCTGGACACAGTTTGAAAATGCTGAGCTCTGCACTGTGCACAGTTGGCTGTCTAGTGTGATTACGGCAGTCTGGCCCACCAATGTACATTAGCAAGCTAACTCAGTAACAGCAAATAGTCTACCTGCACTTTATTGGGTAGGATCACCCTTTCGAATGTAAAGGGCAGTTTTTATTTCAGTCTTGGACTTTTGTGCCTTATTATCAACAGCTGCCAATGTTGCAATACAGAAGTCAGGCCTTACGCACAACGCAAATCTACAGAAATAATGACTTTCTTAGTCATTCATTCACAGGAAGTTACTGTTTAATGGCCTTGGAAAGGTGTTGGTGAGTTGCCTTCTTGCACAACTGAGTGGCTTCATCATAGAATCCCTACATTGTGGAAGCAGACCATTCAGCCCATCAAGTCCACACTGATCCTTCAAAGAGCACCCCACCCAGACATCGCTGTAAACCTGTATATAGTATGGTCAATCCACCTAACCTGCACA